TGTTGTGGGGACGGGCAGCGGGCGCCGGTTCATTCTGGCCGCCATCTACCGGCCGCCGCGGCGTACGGTGGCCGCGCTCGAGGCGGACTTTAGTGACTTGGAGCGACAGTACCAGGCCGCCGTGCTCAGTCACCCCGGACTGCCAGTCATCGTCACCGGAGACCTGAACTGTGACATGCTATCCGCCGCCGCTGAACCACCGGGCCGGCGACTGAGTGAATTTATGTCGGATTTTCATTTGTCCCAGGTGATTGATTGCCCTACTTATTCGTCTGGTTCTCTGCTCGATGTTATTCTGGTGAGCAGCAGGGAGATTGTCTCGCGGGCCGGCACGCGCACCTGCCACTTTAGCCCTCACTCGTTCGTGAGAGCCGAGTTAGCGTTACCGCGTCCTGACAGGAAGCCGGTTACCGTCGAGTGCCGCGGGATACAGCGTATCGATGAGCTCGCCTTCTGCTGTGACTTGTCGGCCGCTGATTGGTCCCCTGTGTACCAGACCGACAGCACAGCCGAACAGTGGCAACATTTCCTGGACGCATTTACACCGGTGCTTGACAGTCACGCACCGATGAAAAGGGTCAAGATCCACAACCCTACCGCGCCGCCAGTGTCTGATAACACGAAGCAGCTCATGGCTACTCGGCGGCGTGCGCTGCGTGACGGCGACACCGAGCTCTACCGCGAGGTGAATCGCCAAGTCAAGGCGTCAATCCGCCGTGACAGTCGAGAGCACATCAACAACAAGATCAGGGAACAAGGCCCCCGCTCTACGTGGCGCAACCTACGGTCAGTGGTCGCTGGCAAGAAATCACAGGCAGTGCTCCCGTCTGTTGGGGCAGACGAGATGAACTCGTACTTTGTCCAGGTCGGGCCGCGGGTGGCGCGTGAGGTGCGGGAGCGAGACGGTGACCGCGTAGTACCGTGCCGGCTGCCGCGTGTGGGCTCGTGCGGGTTCACAGTCCGGCCTGTGGACATCGATATGCTGCGCAGGGTGGTGTTCTCCATGCGAGGCACCTCTGCGTGTGGACTCGACGGGGTGTCGATCAAGATAGTTAAGCTGTGTTTTGATGTGATTGGTCCGATCTTACAACATGTTATTAACAACTGTCTGACCCGAAACGACTTCCCTGGCTCTTGGAAGCATTCTGTGGTGCGACCCATTTTCAAGTCAGGTGACCCGACTTTGCCGGCCAATTATAGGCCGATATCGCTTGTGCCCGTCATCGCCAAGATCACTGAGCGGATCGTCCAGCGTCAGCTCCATTATTACCTCTCTAGCAACTTTCTTCTCTCGGACAGTCAACATGGATTTCGGCCCAACCATTCGACTGCTTCCGCTCTTATTAACGTCTCCGATAGTATACTCTCAGCCATGGACAACAGCGAAATTTCTCTCCTGTGTCTCATTGACCTAAGTAAATGCTTTGATATCATCAACCATTCTAAATTACTTGACAAGCTCCAACTACTTGGGATTGACGCTGGATGGTTCCGCTCATATCTCGAGGGCCACACACAGAGTGTATGTATCAGTGATGGTAGGGGTCACCGCGTACTCTCCAAGTCACTGCCAAACCATGTTGGTGTGTTCCAAGGCTCGGCCCTCGGGCATTTGTTGTTCACTTGCTTTGCGAACGACATGAGCCTGCATGCCCTTGATGCGCGTATCGTTCAGTACGCCGACGATACGCAGGTGCTCGTCAGTGGCCGTAGGACAGCGATGAGCGACACAGTGACCAGAATGGAGACGACCCTGGCAGCCCTCAGTGACTGGTTTGCGGCCAATGGGTTGAAAGTCAATGCCACCAAGACTGAATTGATTGCGTTTGGCAGCCGGCAGAGCATGCGCAAACTGCCTGACATAAATGTAAGATTTAGAGACGCCGTTTTGAAACCGTGTCAAAAGGTCAAGAATCTGGGCGTGACCTTCGATTCTTACCTCACCTGGGATGACCATGTTGCTGCCATTGTTGGTAAATGTTTCGGAGCGCTGATAGGATTGAGCCAGGTGCGCCACTACATACCAGAGGATACGATTGTGACGCTTGTGACTGCCCTTGTTCTCTCACATGTGCGGTACTGCCTGCCCGTTTACGGGAACTGCTCGAAAGGGAACCTCGCACGACTTGATAAGGTCATTAATTTTGCCGCAAGGGTTGTGTCTGGCCGTCGCAAATATGACCACGTGGCTGATGTAAGGGACGCGCTGGGGTGGCTCTCGGCTGGTGACCTATCGTCGTACGATACGATGGTGCTACTGCACAACACAAGGTTATCCGAACTGGCGAGCCAGCTGACATTGCCGCTATGTTTCGCCGAAATGAGGAGATGCGCGAGCGAGCGACTAGACGGGATAGCAGGCTGTGGCTACCTGGCATCCACACAGAGGCGGGGCGTCGAAGGTTCAGCTACCGTGCAGCCATGCAGTACAACGCTCTGCCCAGTGATTTTCCGGACATGTCAACAAACAAGTTCAAATCATCGCTCAAACGTCGCTTTCAACACTGATTTAGGCTTATGCATATGGGTTGCATGTATGTCAGCTGAAATCTATTCATGCATAGCCATGCGTTTTGGTGAGTTTTGTGTGATATGTTGAGTGTGATGTCTTTTTGTTCCATTCTCATATGACGCGGGAGCGTAATAGCCACAACTACCTGTGGATGCCCCCCATATGTTAAATACAATACAATACAATGGCCTCAAATGACACAGGCGACACCGAATTCGAAATCTATGGCCTAAATGGACCATAAAACATGTGTCACGTGACCGACTTATAATATAAGATTTCCGTGACCTGTGATGACCTGACCCTGACCCGAAAATCAAAGTACAAGTTTGGTACCCTCAGGGTATGTAAAGCATCTGTTGACGAGTGTGTAAACCAAAAATCAGTCTGATCTGACTTGTAAGATGGCAGCCAGAGCCCAAAATGTGAACAATCCTATACGCAGACCCCAGTGGGGCGCGGGTTAAGCCGTTTCGTACCTCGTTTGTCCTCAAATACCGCCGCACGCTGAAAGTATGCAACCTTGCAAAATCTACATAAACTGAAACAATGTTGTTTTTGAGGGTGATCTGTTCTGCCTTTGCTGGCTGTCAAGACATAGGTACTAGGTAGACTATCAATAACTATATACTAATGCTGTTATATCGTGGATTGGAAGCCGAACGAAAAGCTTAGTGATGATCAAAGCGGCAATTTATCAACTTGGAAACTTGACTTGTAAACAAGACCAACTTTGTTGACTGACTATGCCCATAGAATAAGCATATACCTAATACCTACATATGTATAATCCTGCATTGCATCTAGTCGTTATGCGAGTATGTATGTCTGCTCTTTGGGCGCCTCAATATTGCGTGAATATTCGCACAACTACCGTGGCTCAGTGCTCACTAACCCGTGAGGGACAGGGCCATAAAGCTGCACTGCACCCCAGCCATGCGATGACGAACATAGTTCCAGGGCGCTGTAACGACCAAACACCACCGGCATTAACGCCCGGGACGTGTGCCACTTCAGTGTATAATCATACCAAGTGCCGCACACTTTTCCACGCCGCCCGCAGCGCCTGACAATGCTGGCAGTGCCAGGGCGGAGCTGCGCTGTCGTGACAGGCCGGAAGCCCGCAAGGTTCAGCCACTGCCAGCCCACAGTAGAATACGGACACGGATTGTTTAATCGTGACTTCAGAAGCACATTTGTCTTAGGTAGGTATACCATTGGCAGGACCACCAACTGGCTTTGGACCAGCGATATCATCTTGATTCATGTCCATCCGGCTTAGAGACCTAGGAAGGCTGAAGTTGAAGGCTGAATGCCAGCCTGTATGAAGGTAGTCCAACCTAAAGGCCGCCCCACACTGGAACTCGCATGCGGGTTGCGAGTTTGCGGGTTTTGAGTTTGCGGGCATAATACTAATTCATAGAGTGATTAGACCGCTCCCATATGGTAACTATAGGAATGCAGTGAAGCCGGTACACCTTCAGAAACTTACATATAGTCGCAATATCAGCGCAATGAACCAAAATCCGACTCCAACGAAAAACCCGCAAACCTCGCAGAACTCGCAGACCTCGCAGCGAGGAAAATCGAAAGTTGACTCAAAATCAACTTTTGGAATGCGATGCAAGGTGGTTTGCAAGTTAAAAATATGCAGACTCGCTTGCTACATGGTAGCGTGGGTCACTCAGCTTAGATTGTATGATTTGTTTTTGAAGAAACCCGAAAACCAAAAACTCGCAACCCGCATGCGAGTTCCAGTGTGGGGCGGCCTTAATCCAACTGATGTCTTCGTGACGTCACCATTTGACACCGACGGCTGCCGCTGGAAAAGACGAGCGCTGGACAAACAGCCACGTACATACTGCATGCTGCCTAGGGCACTTGTGTGCCTCCTTGTGCGAATAAGTCGACATCGCGTGCACAATGCCCCTCAGTGACTGAATGCGCCCGTGCGAGGACACTTGCCTTGCTGATTGATGAAGGCGTGCTTCATGTATGTGTACCGAAACACGTACCATTATGGGGCTGATGATGATGCATTGATGAATACAAACGCAATTTTGGAAAATAATGCAAATATGTTGACAAGCGAGCGTGAGTGTTTCCTGCCACCTTCTACAAAGTTATAATGTAGGTAGCTATGAAACAGCCAGAGGCTTTCCCGTTGATAGGCAAGTGCCATCTCCCCCAGATTCCTTGTGTGTCTGTTCATTTCTTCTGTGTATTTCCGATCGACCAGCCATGTTAACCTTTCTTTCGTGATTGACAGATATGCGCCATTCAACTTCTAAGCCATCTATCAAGCCAGTTACTGAGCGGCAGATAGCCGTACCTACCGTTCCAAGACACCGCTTCTTCATTAACTAAATGATAAATTTCGTCCCAACCAGTACTGTGACACCCCGCACTGACCTGCGATACGCCACCACACGTTACCTGCACGGCGTCCGGAGCTGACGGACAGTGACGGCGCCGGCCGTACCCGCAGGCCGCCGCCGTCAGAAAGAGCATCCGCTGGGAGCCGGCTCAGCACAGCCTGCTGCCCGACGTCGCCATGAACCTGTGGCAGATGAACGCCACCAAACAGAGCAACCTGGGCACCTGGAGCCTGCCCGGCCGTTTCGCCGTCAACCCCGACCACGTCTTCACCAAGATCAAACGACACTTCAAGATCGGCGTCATTGTGGTCAGTCACAGGGGGGGGGGGGGGCGGCTGCTCCGTGAACGGGTCCTCAGTGCACGTTGCAAAATGCACGCTGCAGCGGGCAGGTGACGCAAATTCGACTCGGGATTGGGGCATGCATGTTTAAGTAAAGATAAATGAGTTGAAGTGTCCTGCTTAAATCATGATGATGAAAGTGTCTCGCATGTATATATGAACGCACATTGCACTCAATAATGTAATGTCACAATAACGCTAATGATAGTTGCATCAATGCAAGCAAAAATGCCAGCATATGCTTATACGTTATATATTTGACTGATTAAAACCATACGACGCGGGTGGTTCTGGCGGTACACTGTGTCCCATCAACATCAGCACGTGCCAGACTGACCTGACCTGACATGTCATACATGTCGCAATTTGTAGAGTGCACACTCGACAGCGCCGTGGTCCCGGTGCAGCCCCTCGGCAGCTTCCGAGACACCGTTATGCGCATGTGTTACACCCCCACAGATTACTCCAGTGCATGTAGTACGTGCGCCGGCTCGTGTACCAGTTCAGGGGGGGGGAGCACGCGTCAGGGGACAGGGGTCCGCTTCTGGGAACGAGAGCCCACTTGTGCGCTACGTGTCCGAACCAAGGCTGGTTGAACCGGTACGCTGCTGAGGAATTGCAGGCCTACTGAGCACTGTTAGACGCGCCTCGCCTAGCCCGTGGCTGATTGGCTGAGTGTAGTCGGGAAAACGGCAACGGTCAGTTGGCTATTCGACGAAATGTGATGAGACCTTGGATGTCAGCGAAGTAGCCCATAGGCGACTTTGAGGTCACGTACTATATGAGGGTTAATGAGAAACGCGCTAGTTGATGTTACCTGCGTCGCACGATCATCTTTAATACTCAGAATCGAATATTCAATATTCAGTTCAATGCGTAGCTACAGGTGACAACATAGGCCTATCAGTCCAAATAAATCTTCAACTTTTATTTTGAGCAGCTAAGAAGGTGCGATACCGTGGATCATCGGAGGTTTTGTGAAATTTGTAGTTACGGAGCGAGCGAAGCGAGCGTAGTCTTTCCTTAGATTAACGGAAATTTCTGAGTATGAACGGCCGGCCGGCCGGCCGGCCGTGCGGACGCTTTTGCGAAGCTTATATCTCAGCAACCACTTGACCGATTTACATGCGGTAATTTTTGTAGGGTAGCTTCATTCCTTCTACCAAGTATTGGACTATTGCCGATGCATTTGGGTGACCCCTTACGCACGTGCCACGTGCAAAACGAAGAGGTGTCATTTAAGTAATTGTTGCAATATCTCGGTAACTACTTGGCCGATTGCGCTGAAAGTTGACATGTAGGTAGGCACCCACTAGGCACTGCATACCCATGTGTCAGAGTTGGGGTGCTGCTGCACGTGCGCACGTGCAGGGGTCGTTTCCAGATCTCGAGAACGGCTGGACCGATTGCGCTCAAATTTGGCACACGGTTAGGGACCAGTTAGTAGGGTGCCGTGCACAAGTCAGTTGGGACCCATTTTGCACGTGCGCACGTGCAGGGTGCCGCTCCCAGATCTCGAGAACGGCTGGGCCGATTGTGCTCAAATTTGGCACATCGCTAGAAACCGGTCAGTAGGGTGCCGTGCACAAGTCAGTTGGAGGTACCCCCTCGCAATTTCGCACGTGCAAGACTCACCCCCTCGCTCGCTCCGTTAGTCGCCCCAAAAGGCGCTATACTGGTAGGTAGGTAGTCGTTAATCGTTTACGTAGATTTCGAAATAAAGCTAGCTAACGTTCCATAGAATAATAATAAATAAACTAATCATTAAACTATAGGTATATCTTTTTATTAGACTAATTATAATTATTTGAAATTCTAACAACTTTCATAATTTTACCAAGAGAGAACGTGTCAGAATTATTGAGTCTAATATTTTGTCACAACTTCTTTGGAATTACTTCTGAAAACTTAACGAAATTTTCGGAATCTCTTTTCGCTTTTCTCACGCATTTTCAACGTGTTACAGCAATACACTTTTCTCCAGCGGTTCTAAGACAAGAGCAATTCGTTATTATACCGCGAAGTCGAACAACTTAGCACGATAAAGCCGCCCCCGTTGTCCAGGCCAGTGCAGGCCATATGCCACAACTGTCAACTGGCGCACGGCCACCCTGATGCAACAGTGTGCGGCCTGATATTTTATGCACGCCACCGTCACCACCTACATGAATAAGACATACTCAGTAAAACCGGCGGAGACGTAGGTGCTGTCGGATCGCGCAGACACCGCGCAGGGCGCAGCCGTGTCTCCGCTTCCTCAGCCGTGTCTCCGTGCCCATCCCCAGCGGCCAGCCGTGTCTCCGTCTACACCTGCGCCCCCGTCCCCAGCTGTGTTGTTCCCGTCTCCAGTCGTGTCTCCGCTTCCTCAGCCGTGTTAGCCATGTCACCGTCCCCAGCCGTGTCTCCGTCCCAGCCGTGTCTCCGCTTCCTCAGCCGTGTCCCCGCCCCCAGCCGTGTCTCTCTGCCCAGCCGTGTCCCCGTGCCCAGCCGTGTCTCTCTGCCCAGCTGTGTCTCCATGTCCAGCCGTGTCCCCGTCCCCAGCCGTGCTCACCCTCCTTTTACCCAGACATCGATAAATCGATGTGTCTGCGTGGGATGGTCAGCGGTGCCATGGGGGTGATCTGGGAGGCCCGGGTGACGCCCAGCTCTGTGAGACGGCGCCCTGGGAGCGCTGAGTAGCCGATTAGGGTGTCTCATGCCGTTCGCTCATCACATGCATTACCTTTGGCTGTTGATGGCCGTCTGCACCCGACTCGTATTACCGCTCGTGTCCTGAGCGGTAACAATACGGGCCGACGACGAATGATGCTAGGAGGCGTTACCTAATATAATAGTCATCATCATCATCAAAGTAACAATAAAATGGGGATGGAGGGTGGGTTACTTTTCCGTTCTCGCCGTCTGTCACTCCGACGCGTTCTCTACACCCTCCTTCACCTCCGCGCTCGCGTCGCCGACTGTGTCACCCCACGTGTTTTCCTCTCTCTCTCCCCTCCCCTCCGCTCCATCCCCTCTGTTTGTCGTGCGCTATCTCGGCGCGGCCCGGCCCAGCGCCCCTGTCCCGTCTCAGGCCACCTCGCTCTCCGCGCCGGCCTCCTCTTGTCGCCGCCCGCCGTTTACCGCCCATGTTCTTTTCGATTGCTCGTTCTGTGTCACCCCCGTCTGCTCACTTTAATCGAGCCCCTAATCGACGATAGGCTGTCCCTATCCCTGATTAGGGTGTCTCATGCCGTTCGCTCATCACATGCATTACCTTTGGCTGTTGATGGCCGTCTGCACCCGACTCGTATTACCGCTCGTGTCCTGAGCGGTAACAATACGCCAAACACGCCAACGGAGCAGAATGTATAAACGGATATACAGAAAAGGTGTGTATTCTCGACTAGGCAAAACAACATTCCAGGCAGGAGGCTGGTGGGGACATGCGCCCCGTTACACAGCAGGGGTCAGCACTCTAGAGCTGAAAAGCCTGTGAGCCGATGGGCGCCGGCGACGGGGTCTGCCAAGTACGAGCGCAGCGTGCACGGCAACGGGACCGGTCGTGGCGATGCATGGGGGCGCAGTCGCCGGAAACGCGCAACGTCATTCCGGCTGAGCGCATCCGCCGCTCCGTTCTGTTTTGTGGCGACGTACGCGATGTCGATAATGAACTTCTTGTATGCTGTCCAGAATAGGAGCTGGCGGATCAAAGACATTATCTGTGCATTCCCGGACCATCCCCTACCCCACACTCCTATGACGCCCATATTGTCTGAGTAAATGCGCACCCGTTTTCCTCCCCATTTGTCTCCCCAGACGAGGCATGCGATCATGACCGGGATGAGTTCGAGCCACGTCATGGACAGAGATGTCGCCTGTTTGATCTCGTCGGGCCATTCCGCTGACCACCATTCGCCGCCCTGACACGCCCCCCATCCCCCAGCGCGAGCTGTCCGTGTGTAAGGTCACGGTAGCGGTCTCCACTTCTGCAGGTGGCACCATAGGGAAGCTGCCGTTCCAGAGCGGCAGGTAGCAACGCCACCAGTCCAGGTCAGCCCGGATCGCTGCATTGACGCGTATGCGTTTCTGCAAGCCGTTCACAGCATAAGCTGCATCTAGTAATCGCCGTGTGAATGCTCGCCCGGGCGGCACGCATTTGCTGGCCTGCGTAAGTTTTCCCACTAACGACAGTAACTCCCGCTGTGTGCATTTCCGGCGGCCCGCCAGCGCTCCGAGCGCCTGATGGAGGTCGGCCACTTTCCGATCTGGCAGGGCAACCGTCATGCGGTCCGTGTCGAGCACTACGCCCAACAGCTCCATGCGATTGGACGGAGGCAGACACTTGTCACTCGCCAACGGCACATTTAACTCGCGACACAAAGTCAGTATCTTGTCATACGTTTCTGCCGCGTCCGCTGAAAACGCGGGTCCGACACCGAAAAAATCGTCCAGGTAGTGTCGCACAAATACACCGCCAGCGTTCGCCTGAAATAACTTTTCCAGGCAGTCTGCAAAGTCATTGAACAGCCGTGGGCTGCTGCGACCGCCGAAGGGCAGACATACCTGGTAATACAGCGCATTTGACCATTGAAACCCTAACAGTCGCCACTGATCTGGCCGCACCGGTATTAACTTAAACGCGTTTTTAATGTCCGCCTTGAATAATTGGGCATTTTTGCCCCCGACTAAATAAATGAGCCGTATAGCCTCGTCGATTGAGGTGTACACCACTCGGAACTCCGCTGGATCGATCCCCTCGTTCACAGCACTGCCCACTGGCTGGGAGAGGTCCAGTATGAGGCGCACGTCCCCGTTTGGCTTGTCCCGAGCACTCAATGGGTTCACCGTGAAATTTTCGAACGGCGGTGATTCAAATGGGCCTCTGGTGCACCCCGTTTGCACTTCTCGTTCTATCGCGGCGGACACTCCCATCACTCGCGAGGTGGCCGAGCGGTTGTTGGTTGTGAACCGTCCGTGGCCTGGTCCGCAGTAGCCAATGTCCGCTCCCTCCCGAAACCGCCGTACCACTAGGTCCCCGACCTCTCTCCGTATGTTTGGACAATCACTGAACAAACGTTCAAGGCGCTCGACGTTCACGCCCGTATCAGCAGGGACGGGCCTGTCGTCCACACTGTCCCCTCGCCGACTATAATCGCGGACCGAACCATGACCGGCCCCGCTGTGCGTCGCCCTGCTGGTCAGCGGCCGTCCACCCGGCGGTGCCTCGGGGTGAAAAGGCGGCATGGAAGGCGGTCGCGTGCTGGGTCGAATTGCACGTCTGGCATGGCGGGTGGATGCGACCCGTGCGACACGGCGTGGTGCACTTGTTCCGGCGCACGTGCTGAAAACACACCTCTTTGTGATTCGTCCCCGCTCGCTCTGCTGTTGTAGCTGTTGAAGCTACACGTGTAGGCCAGAACTGATCGAGATCTAGGGTTGTCAGGAAATCCCGGGGACGCAGCGCCATTGCCTGCCTCGCCCTGCTGTCCGCCGTCTGGACGTCTCTCAGGGAGCGGCCGGCGCTCCGGCTGATCAGCCACGTCAGGTAGCTCGTTGCTTGTAGCCCACACTGTGGGAAGTAGTATGTGGTATGTGTGACGATCGCTGCCACTCGACCGATGTACTCTAGTACATTGTTGGGACTTGGTTCGACCGGATCGGCCGCATCACGCACCGCCACGTAGTTCCGCCGATTCCGCAGCTGCCTCGCTGCCTTGGTTGTGACTGCCGGCAAGCGCAGATCGGCCGGCGCCGCTCCTCCCCGCGCCCGCAGCGGCGTCATGCGATATTCCTCCCGTCTGTCTGCCGTGTCATCATCTTCTGATGACTCCGACGATGACGACTGGTCACGGCGCCGTTTACGCCGGGGCGGGCTGACACTGCGGTTAGATCGGCGGCGACTGCGCTCCCGGCCGTCGTGGTCCTGCCACGGCCGAGCCGGCGGCGCCACCGCTGGACCGCCGGCGACTCCAGCGGGAGGAGGCGGCGGCCGGTCGGCAGTGGCGTGCATGTACACCGTGTGTTCACCGCCTGTTCCTGGTCCCGTGCCCTGCCATGCCTGCTCCCCTCCATATCCGGTCGGTCCCCGGTCACCGCCGGCTCCGGTCCACGCATTTGTCGTTGGTGCAGGCGCCTGTGGCTGCGCGGCCACGTGTCCTGGTGCGTGGCCCGGCGCGGCGGGCGCTGGAGCCGCCATATTATGTGCCGGATGTGGTGTGCCGTCCATTGGTGGTCGCCATAATCCTTGTGGTGGGGCCATTCCCCCGGCGAGGGCGCAGTCCAATTCGGCGCGGAGCCGAGCGTCTATGTGCGCCTGTTCGCCGCTGGCCGCACTAAGCGGCCGTAGTTCTGTGCACACAGACGGGTAAACATCGTTAACGTTTCGTATATCTCCTTATATGGGCACCGCCGGTACCCTAGTGTCCCGCCGGCCGGCCGCCCTCCCCCCCCCCGTCTCCCATGACGGCGCTGCGTCCATTTGTCCTCCCTGACTGCGTGAGGGGTTATCCTGTGCAAATAACTCCCGACCGACTGCTGGAGTCGTGGGTCCCTTCCCAGTGTTATCGGACAAAAGGTCAACCACTTGGCCCCACAGAGGTGACCCCTGCGTCCCTCCCGCGCCTTCCCCTCCCCCTCGTGAACTGGCGGTGGTTTTACACGCCGCGACGCCCGGCGGCGGTGTCACGACGTGACGTAACGGCTCTATTACTGCTGACGGCCGAGTGTTGGCCGCCCGACCGGTGGGCGCGTGCAGCGGAATGGGTGGGGGTAGCCCCGTCCGCGAAAACACAGCTGGCACTCCCCGGCGGCCATCACGGCGACAATGCTTTGATGTGTGCATTTGTTCTGGTGACGTCACCCGGCACCCGACGAATAGCGTCATTGGCTTCATCTTAGTCAGGCGGGGCGCCGCGTCGATATGGTTTAGGCATACCTGACGAACAGCGAATTTAACTGACAACATGATTCATGCATGTTGAATCGCCGCATCAGTACGGTTCAGGCGTACCGGGCGCATGGATGAGCCCACATGGTTCAGGCATGTGTGACTTGGCGCTGCGTCGATATGGTTCAGGCATATCTGACGACCAGCGACTTTTATTCTGTCAACATGAATCAGGCATGTTGCATTGCCGCACCGATACGGTGCAGTCGTACCCGGTGCATAGACGAGCCCACATGGATCAGTCATGTGTGTCGATATGGGTCAGGCATATCTGACGAACCGCGAGTTTACTGTGTCAGCATGAGTTATGCATGTTGCATTGCCGTACCGATACGGGGTAGTCGTACCCGGCGCATGAATGAGCCCACATGGTTCAGGCATGTGTGGCTTGGCGCTGCGTCGATATGGGTCAGGCATATCAGACGAACAGCGAGTTTTAATGTGTCAACATGATTAATGCATGTTGCATTGCCGCAGCGATACGGTGCAGGCGTACCCGGCGCATAAATGAGCCCACATGGTTCATGCAAGTGTGGCTTGGCGCGTTATTGTTCAAGCATGTTTGACGAACAGCAAGTTTTAATGTGTCAACATGATTAATGCATGTTGCATTGCCGCACCGATACGGTGCAGGCGTACCCGGCGCATAAATGAGCCCACATGGTTCAGGGACAGGCATGTGTGGCTTGAAACTGCGTCGGTATGGTTCAGGCATATCTGACGCACAGCGAGTTTTACTCTGTCAACATGAATCAGGCATGTTGCATTGCCGCACCGATACGGTGCACGCGTGCCCGGCGCATAAATGAGCCCACCTGGATCAGTCATGTGTGGCTTGGCGCTGCGTCGATATGGTTCATGCATATCTGACGTACAGCGAGTTTTACTGTGTCAACATGATTCATGCATGTTGCATTGCCGCACCGATACGGTGCAGGCGTACCCGGCGCATAAATGAGCCCACATGGTTCAGGCATTGTGTGGCTTGGCGCTGCGTCGATATGGTTCAGGCATATTCGACGAACAGCGAGTTTACTGTGTCAACAAGATTCATGCATGTTGAATTGCCGCACCGATACGGTGCAGGCGTACCCGGCGCATAAATGAGCCCACATGGTTCAGGCATGTGTGGCTTGGCGCTGCGTCGATATCGTTCAGGCATATTTGACGAACAGCAAGTTTTTAATGTGTCAACATGATTAATACATGTTGCATTGCCGCACCGATACGATGCAGGCGTACCCGGCGCATAAATGAGCCCACATGGTTCAGGGACAGGCATGTGTGGCTTGAAACTGCGTCGATATGGTTCAGGCATATCTGACGTACAGCGAGTTTTACTGTGTCAACATGATTCATGCATGTTGCATTGCCGCACCGATACGGTGCAGGCGTACCCGGCGCATAAATGAGCCCACATGGTTCAGGCATGTGTGGCTTGGCGCTGCGTCGATATGGTTCATGCATATCTGACGTACAGCGAGTTTTACTGTGTCAACATGATTCATGCATGTTGCATTGCCGCACCGATACGGTGCAGGCGTACCCGGCGCATAAAAGAGCCCACATGGTTCAGGCATGTGTGGCTTGGCGCTGCGTCGATATGGTTCAGGCATATTCGACGAACAGCGAGTTTTACTGTGTCAACATGATTCATGCATGTTGAATTGCCGCACCGATACGGTGCAGGCGTACCCGGCGCATAAATGAGCCCACATGGTTCAGGCATGTGTGGCTTGGCGCTGCTTCGATATGGTTCAGGCATATCTGACGAACAGCGACTTTACTCTGTCAACATGAATCAGGCATGTTGCATTGCCGCACCGATGCGGTTCAGGCGTACCCGGCGCATAAAAGAGCCCACATGGTTCAGGCATGTGTGGCTTGGCGCTGCTTCGATATGGTTCAGTTCAGGCATACCTGACGAACGGCGGGTTTACTGTGTCAACATGGTTCAGGCATGTTGAATTGTTGCACCGATACAGCGCAGGCGTACCCGGCTCATAAAAGGGCCCACCCGAATCAGGCATCTGTGGCTGGAAGTACGTCGACGTAGGAGAACCAAAAATTCGATGACTTACCGGTCATGTCCGTTCCACGTGTGTCCTGCCCTCAGTCCTCGAACGCTTTTCCGCTTAAACACTTTTCCGTTCTCGCCGTCTGTCACTCCGACGCGTTCTCTACACCCTCCTTCACCTCCGCGCTTGCGTCGCCGACTGTGTCACCCCACGTGTTTTCCCCTCTCTCTCCCCTCCCCTCCGCTCCATCCCCTCTGTTTGTCGTGCGCTATCTCGGCGCGGCCCGGCCCAGCGCCCCTGTCCCGTCTCAGGCCACCTCGCTCTCCGCGCCGGCCTCCTCTTGTCGCCGCCCGCCGTTTACCGCCCATGTTCTTTTCGATTGCTCGTTCTGTGTCACCCCCGTCTGCTCACTTTAATCGAGCCCCTAATCGACGATAGGCTGTCCCTATCCCTGATTAGGCGCCACGACACGCAGGCGGGACGGGGCGGCGGCGTGCCCCTTCCCCATCGCTGCAGAACGGTCGCACCGCCGCGCGGTCGATACACCCGGCCGGCATTCGGCAATGACATCACTTACACCGATCTGCACCGTGACAGGCTCATTGTCGTACATTATTTATATCAGTTTCTGCAGCGGATGGCTTGGAATCTAAATTTGCCTCAGTCAGTGGTTTTAACAGTGACATTCGCGGTAATAAGGCTATTATAAAATGTCAGGTAGGCAAGTATAGATATACTTGTAAAGGCTTTTGAAATAAATTTGGAATTCTTAAGGGTTCATTTTAGACCGTGATCCATGTTTAAGTTTGACAGATCTATTACTTCAGCAGCCCTGGCTTCAGGCTGAAATCCCGGGCAAAATAAAAGTTACGTATTTCATAAAGATTACGCTTGTGTACTCGTACAAGGATAAAGTAAGAATCTATGCCAAGAAAAGATGGGCACCCTTTCATTATCAATTGTGACATCTGCGTGGGACACACAACAGGCAAACAGGATCAACCATTAGGACCGTATGCGTGTCCGCTGTACTTACATAAATGAATGATCGAGTGAACTGTGATGCCGTCCGCCCGCACTCGCCTCACCTCCCCGCCTCGGCAGGCCAACCCGTGGACGTACCAGAAGCTGGACTCAAAGGGCCGGCCGGTGCTGGACGACGCCGGCCAGCCCGTCTACGACGGCTACTGTATCGAGCTGCTGGACACGCTGGCAGAGAAGATGGAGTTCAACTACGACCTGGTGTTTCCCGAGGACGACGCCTACGGCGCCAAGGACGTGACCACCAACGAGTGGAACGGCGTGGTCGGCGACCTGGTCGCCAAGGTGGGTGCAAGCCGGACACCCGTCCCGCCGCGGCGGTCCGGTGCCGCAGCCGGTGTAGTAAGGTCCATGTGAAGTAACGACGCAATGTATAACCCCGAGACCACTGGGTTGCCCCAGACGTGTAACCTGGACGCTGAGTTCTGCTACTCCCCTCCATTCGCAGAAGACGGACATCGTGATCGCTGCGCTGACCATGACCTCGGAGAGGGAGGAGGTCATCGACTTCGTGGCGCCCTACTTCGACCAGTCGGGAATCAGCATCGGTGCGTGAAAAATGGTATAGAAAACACAGTCAAAATGTAGGCAATCCTGAGCATAACTTAACATGCTCCTCCGCAGCAGTCAGAAACACGTTACGACTTACTCTGATGACAAGTACACGATGCTGTTTCGACCCTGCTACCCATATCTAACTACATAGATACTGTTGTGTTTTGAAGCATCCAGCTATCCAGCTATTTTCTGCTATCCAGCGTTCAGTCTCTTTTCCACTTAACGACGCGCCTATTTAGAACAAGGTCCATATAATGGCTGCCGCGCTGGGCCCTCATACTCAGCGTCCGATATCAGCGTAAGTCTCCGCCCTTCCTCCCGGGCAGCGTGACGAGTAGCGCTAAGCGCCGACCGACCGCGTTTGTCGCCCCGTGTTCTGCACATCACGCCCCTCATCTCTCCCCTGTGGTGCGTCTGCAGTGGTGCGCAAGCAGGAGCCCGTCTACTCCATCTTCCGCTTCATGACGGTGCTGAAGAAGGAGGTCTGGTTCAGCATCGTCGGCGCCCTGGTCGTCACCGGACTCATGATCTGGGTGCTGGACAAGTTCTCGCCGTACAGCGCCCAGAACAATCCCGACAACTACCCGTACCCCTGCAGGTGGGCCCCGTATATACCTACTTCTGCAGGTGGGCACGGAACGCTGGCTGTCGCGCCGGCCTTTTCAATAGACCCAGCACGACTTTATAACTGCCGTATCCCAGCTGGTAGATCCTTAACTGCCATATCTCAGTGGGGACGTCCGGCGTCCAGTGTTCCAACAAATAATCACAGCTTACATAATCATCTCATCACAAACGCCTCAATCCGCAGCGGCACTGAGCGTGCCTCTTTAGCTACTCCCTGACACCACGACATATTCCCGTTCTGATCAGCCCGCGCCGGCGCCCTCTCCGCCCGGCAGGACGTTCACTCTGAAGGAGAGCTTCTGGTTCGCGTTGACGTCGTTCACGCCCCAGGGCGGCGGCGAGGCGCCCAAGGCCCTCTCAGGACGCACACTGGTGGCCGCCTACTGGCTGTTTGTCGTCCTGATGCTGGCCACCTTCACGGCTAATTTGGCCGCCTTCCTCACTGTGGAGAGAATGCAGGTGCGTGGGGGACGCTGGCGCACCGCTAGGGTGCGGTGTCAAGGGGACTGCGCCAGGGGCCTTTGAACTCAGCATAACAGAATCGTGTTTGTTTTGAGTGTTCCTGAGTAATTGTTCGTAAACTTTTGACGTTTTCGTAAAAGTAAGACGACGCAGTTGATAAACATGGATCATAAATTGTTTGTCATGTATGCATTTCCTTGAAATACCTCAAACAATTATACCTAAACCGCGCAAAAGCCTTTGAAGATACGGAATCAGTGCAGAGGCTGAGGAAATGTGACGATGCATACTTACTTGATGTGGGCCGTGTCGGGTAACGTCAACTCTGCTTTCAACATACTGCAACTGTATCTTCTTTCGTGACTAGAAAACGAACCAATTTTAAGCACATTTTGATGCAGCACGTGATCGTTTTTACAAAAAATATCTAGATAGATCTCGGGCCCTTATTTTCAGACAATACTTCAATATCAAGCCACCAACTTGCCATAAACGCTCCTGTGCATGTGACTAACATTGCATTCCAATGAAGAACGGCATCGTTATGGGATACGGGTTGTAAATGTACGCTTATGTGATTTGTGAATGTCGCCATGTGCCGAGCTCTCCAGCTCTCTCTCTCTCTCTCTCTCTCTCTCTCTCTCTCTCTCTCTCTCTCTCTCTCTCTCTCTCTCTCTCTCTCTCTCTCTCTCTCTCCGTCTTTGAGCTGTCTGATGTCTCACTCATTTCTCTACTCTGTCCCGGGACAGACCTCCGTGCAGAACCTTGAGGCGCTGGCCAAGCAGAGTAAGATTGTGTACTCGGTCATGGGCAACAGCTCGATCGCCGCCTACTTTGAGAACATGGCTCACGCCGAGAACGCCCTGTTTAGGTGGAGCAGACGCCGCGCTCTGCGGCCGCACGAGCCGAGCACGGCCAACACCCTGCACCGCCGCTGAACGGGCAGCTGCACACGTGCACCCACTACCTGCACGAGCACCCATAAACCAATCGGTCGTATATAGAGTAATTATATAATAATGCGTTCTTGTGTTGATACACATTGCACACATCGTTCGTATCATTGTCGTTGGTGTCATTACAAACTCACATATGACAAACTTCTTGACGATTCTCGATAGAGGGTTTTTTTAGGCGCGTCCAGCTGAAGGTGCTAGATTTCCACACCTCGCTGAGGGGTGTTTAAACACTCCCTTCTAACTCGGCTCCTTGAGCTACGTAGCGACAGGCAGTAAACGCCGTTCGAAAGAGCGTCAAAAATCATGAAGAAAGTACCTACTTCAGACATTTTTAGATCGGGCAGAAGTCAGGTCAAAAAAGTTCATCAAATATCAAAGTTCACCGATTTCGACAATTTTCGACAAAGTGGCGTAGAATTTGAGAACAGATAGTGATACAAGCCCCAGGAAAAGCCTTATCAATCATTTGTTAGGCTTTTCTTTGATAATGATCTCAGGTTTGACCTAAGGTCAACTATTTGTACTCCAGAGGGCAAAAACTGTTAAAATTAACATTTTCGCGAAAAGTTTCTCTTCAATAGCTGTTGGCTCGAAACTCCACCACACTAATTCCTTCGGTATAGTGTTTTTCTTGTCGAGACGCGTCGAATTAATTATTTTGTCTTTACCATGAAAATTTATTTTGAAAAGTTGACCAAAAGTTAAAGTTATAACCGACCGGAAAAGGTCATATGGCATATCATTCGATTCTTATCGTTAAACTAAGCCTTCACAAGGTATTTATATTTCAGATGCTGCTTTTATGGTCGAGACTTCAGGCTAGCTTAACCGAATTTCGGTAAAACTCGTTTTTTGCAAATCAGCGAACCAATTATACTCAAACTCTGTACAAAACAATCGGCATTTTTCGTTCCCAGTACAGCATTTTTCACTTTGTCTAGATTTTTGCTTCGATATAGGCATGCTTAGGTGTTTTCGCACCCTGTAGCAGCTTTGAACATGTTAACCCGCGCCCCATTGGGCTCTGCCGAGCAACGCGCCCGGTTGGGAGGGGGGAAATTTGCCCCCCTCCCTAAGATCTCAAGAACCACGCAACATAGCGACAAGCGGCAAACGGCGTTGGATAGCCCCAACAGGGAACTACCTTGTGACCAAATTTCATTGACCTAGGTCAAACCGATGACGTCACAGATCAGGTCAAAGGTCGAATTTCACCGTTTACAGGCATTTCAAGAAATGCGTTGTAAAATCAAGTAAAATGCATTTCATTGAAAATCATCGATGGGGTATTGCTCGTCAAACACATATTTTGCTATTTGAGGTCACTGACACCAGGTCAGGTCACAGAGGTCAGGTCACTGAGGGTCACAATATGAAAATATCATGTGATACATGTTTTATGGTCCATTTTATATGTCAAATGCGATTATGTGGGACAGGCAGCCCTTGGGGTCATTTTAGATTATGTTCTGGTGAAGGTCAGGTCATGGTCAGGTCAAGGTCAGGTCAAATTAGGTCAAATTTCAAAGTTGATATTTTTGCATAAAATGGGTATCGATTCGATGCAGCTCGTCACGGGGAGTTCAATGGTGGTCTTTGTTTTGCGCTACGTTCTCTAGAATTGACAAAAAATGAGTTCAAAAATTTGACGTCATCAATTTTGAACAGTTTTTTCGCTATAACTTGGCCAAAAATAGAGATATCGATCTAAAAATTGGTATGTAGATAGAAGAGCAGAGGGACTATCACATATATTCCGTTTTTTTCGAAATTCAATTTTTTGTTTTTTCATACGTTTTTCTAAAAAAAAGTTTTTTGAATTTTTGAGGGCTAAATCCAACAATTTTGAAAATCCGAGATAGTAGTTTTATAGCGCCGTTTTGTGTCTACATGACCATATAAAGAACTTTGAAATTGCTAAGTAACTGTAGCTCTGGTGAGCAGAGGCGGATCCAGCTCAGAGATTTGGGGGGGGGGCAAACCATAACAATTTATCGATTCTTTCCATGCATCGTCCATAAGCGTAATGTTAAAATTATGCCGTTTGGGGGGAATGCCCATTTTGCCCCCTGGATCCGCCACTGCTGGTGAGCGTTTCAAGATTTCATGTTTTTTCAGTGGCGCAGCCAGGGGGGGGGGTGAAAGGGGTGAGATCTCACCCCCGTCTCTTATCCTAGGGGCCCACCGTCGATTCGAACTGTAACGTTATGCAGCCTGACAATTTTTTATCACTAATGTCAAGGTCCGTCATAGGACTGAAAAACAGTTTTCAGGCCTGATAGCCCCCCCCCCCTCGGATTTATAGTCCCATTTTATGATTTAAGGGGGTATATCCAAGGCCCGATCGAATTAATCCAAGGCCTAGGAGGGCCCGTTCCATGGCATGAGAGGGCCATTTCAGGCCCGAGAGGGCCCATTTCAGGTCTGTGAGGGCCCATTTCAGGCCTGAAGGGGCCCAGTTGAAGCTTGAGAGGGCCCATTTCAGGCCCTAGAGGGCCTGTTTGAGGCTTGAGAGGGGCCCATTTCAGGCCTGAGAGGGCCCATTTGATGCCTGTGAGGGCCCATTTCAGGCCTGAAGGGTCCATTCAGGCCCTAGAGGGCATGTTTGAGGCCTGATAGGGCCCATTTCAGGCCTGAGAGGGGCCCATTTCAGGCCTGAGAGGGGCCCATTTCAAGCCTGAGAGGGGCCCATTTTAGGCCTGAGGGGGCCCATTTCAAGCTTGAGAGGGCCCATTTCATGCCCTAGAGGGCCTGTTTGAGGCCAGAGAGAGCCCGTTTGAGGCCTGAGAGGGCCCATTTCTGGCATAAGAGGCACCATTTCAGACCTGAGAGGGCCCAATTACGGTATGAGGTGGCCGTTTTTTCGACATGATAGGGACCATTTCCGGGCTGAGGGGGCCCATTTCAGGTCTGAGAGGGCTAATGTCAGGCCTGAGAGGGCCCATTTTAGGCCCTAGAGGACCTATTTGAGGCCTGAGAGGGTTCACTTCAGGCCTGAGAGGGGCCCATTTCAGGTCTGAGAGGACCAGTTCAGGCCTGAGAAGACTCATCCCAGGAATGAAAGGATCATCCTATGTGTGGGAGCGTCCGTACTCCGTGCTTGGTCTGGGTCTGAGAGGGCCTATCCCAATCCTGATTGAGCCGATATCATGTTTGATATAGGTCAACTCACCACATGCATATTGATGGTCCAGTTCATGTCTAATGGGCCCATCTCAAGACTCAGAGATTTTATGCTTCAGGAAGCCTACCCCAAGCGTGAGGGGGCCCATAGAGGTTTTTGAGGCTCATGGAGGTCCCGCAGTACGATATGTCAGCCTCTGAGAAAGCCATGCAGGGCCCTTAAGATGCCAAGCCGACATCTGAAAATTCCTCTTCTCTTTAGGCCCGTGCCTGCTTCCCTTCCCCTGCTATAGCTAGGTATCTTGGCTATAGCCTTGTGCTAGCGGGGATGCAAAATTTAAAAAAAAACTGCCTCACCGCCAGGCCCCACCCTGACGTCTAGGGGTTAGACGCCTAGGTATTCATCAGGACTCAACACCGGTCCATGATGGCTCCAACCTGACACCTGAGGCTCGCTCCTGCACCGGCTTTTGAGCATGGGCGTAACCACCGCGCTGGAACGCTGGAAATTCCAGCCCATTTTTTGGGGATGCTGAAATGCCGCCCCCGGTAGAGGAAGTCTGCAATTGGGGGTTTAGGGACTTCAAAACGAAGCAAAAGAAACGGCACTGCTCGGTCCACTACATACGCCTGGCCTCAACGTGCCGTTCCTCACTAAAATACCTAGGTAACCTCTATACATGCCTCCCCTCCCAGATGCCCTGCCGCCCCTCCGCACCGACTCTCCCTCAACTTCCTCGGAGCTGTCTATGTGCCGCCCCTCACAGAACCCCACCGCCCTCAATGTGCCGCCCTTCCGCATAATGCTCTATCGCCGTCTGTGCCGCCCTCTCCAGATGACTTGCCGCCCCTCCCCAGAGTACATCGGCGCTCTCTATGTGCTGCCCTCGCCACAGCTTCCCGCCGCCCTCAATA